ACCTGCGGCCGCGGCCGCGGCTCCTGCCCCGGAGGCTCCCTTTAATTCGAGCGCACCTGCGTACGAACAGCTAGCGCTGTCGTACATCACCAAAGAACCCCTGAAAAACAACATCGTGTACACTGCCTGTCCAAACCATCATACTACACAGATTTCTTTCCAAAAATAACCTTCCAAAATAATCTCCTTTATTGATTTCGCTTCTTAACAGATTTGATATCGCGATCTTTTGGGAACTTGAATATTTATTATTTTTATTGGTTGAGTGTTTATTTCCATATTATGACGTTTTTTATTTTGAAGCACGAATGCGTGAATGTAGAATGATTGGACCACGCAGTATGTTTCAGAGTGTAACTACTATGGTGACTTATAAAATGACATCATTCTTTTCTAATTATCTCTTTTATATTCGACAAAGAGATAAAGTACGATGAGTAGGTCAAGTGCCCGCGGGATAGAGCTGGGCAGTGGTGCAACTGCGCAGAGTGGTCAATTAAGAGCTTTCGAATAAGATATCAATTTTTAGATTTGGAAGTTTTCAAGCTTTTGGATTTTCAAATTTTTGTGTAAAGATTTGGCAATTTGGGGGATTGGGACTATGGTAATTTAGGGAATTTGGGGAATTTGAAATTTGGAGAATTTATAATTTGGGGAATTTGAAAGTTGGAGAATTTATAATTAGGCGAACTTAGAATTTGGGGAATTTGGAATTGGGGAAATGTAGAATTGAGGGAAATTCGAATTGGGAGAATGTGGAATTTGGGAAATTTGGAATTGGGGGAATATGGAATCGGGGGAATGTGGAATTGGGAGATGTGGAATTGGGGGATGTGGAATTGGAGGAATTTGGAATTGGGGGAATTTGGAATTGGGGAAATGTGGAATTGGGGGAAATTGGAATTGGGAGAATGTGGAATTTGGGAAATTTGGAATTGGGGGAATATGGAATCGGGGGAATGTGGAATTGGGGGATGTGGAATTGGGGGAATTTGGAATTTGGCAAATTTGGAATTGGGGGAATGTGGAATCGGAAAATTGTGGAATTGGGGGAATGTGGAATTGGGGGATATGGAATTGGAGGAATTTGGAATTTGGGAAATTTGGAATTGGGGGAATTTGGAATTGGGGGAATGTGGAATTGGGAGATGTGGAATTGGGGGATGATGGAACTTGGGAAATTTGGAATTGGGGGAATTTGGAATTGGGGGAATGTGGAATATGGGAAATTTGGAATCGGGGGAATGTGGAATTTGGGAAATATGGAATTTGGGCAATTTGGAAGTCGGTGAATTTGGAATTCGGGTAATTTGTACCTGGAACAATTTAGAATTTGTAGAATTTCCACAACCCTTACAAAACCTCCATTCTCAAAAACCCATAACAAATAATTTTGACGGTAAGAAACTGTTCACCGCGAAGAGATTCATCTCGTTCTTCGAACGAGTTACGTGAATTATCCTCGCGACAGGAAGCGAACAATGACCAGAAGAAGAATGGCCGCGCGTTTTACCTGCTGTCGCTTCGACGTTGTCCACGATAAAACGCGATCTGCACACCGTCCACGTTGACCATCGATCGATCGACGCGAGAGATGAAAAAAAAAACAACGCGATCGTCGATGATACGATTTAACGAGACGCTCCGTCGTCCCTTGCCCGGGGCATCGTCGTTCTCTCGAAACAAAGCAAACAGCTCGAAATGGACGCGCGGATGTTCACAATGTATCGAGGTCAATTTAATCACGTTCACAAAACTGTTCACATAATCACGGTGCACCTCCGGCGGTCTGCGAGTACACGATTTCCGTGTCCTGCTCGTTGTTACCGATTCGCAGAATAATTTATCCTCTCGATAAATGTCCTTCTATATTACGCTGTACATCTTCTCGATCCAGACAATTCGATCGAACAACATTTGCCAATCACCTTTCATTTCCTCTGCAATTACTTCGAATCGTTTCGATATTTGATTAATAAGTCTTCCATGTTGCTCTTTATACTCGATCTCATCCTTCAGTTTTCGATTTCATCCTCATCTCCTTCTTGCAGACGTCCTTGGATCATCCTTGGATCTCGAAGAGATTTGTCGGCATCTTTGCTCGGAGGAATGCGGGTACCGATGGTCACCGTACGTTTAGCAGCAGCGAATGGCAGAACGTGGATGGATATCGAGATGCAGAAGAGGCTGGACCCGATATCAAGAAGAAGGTACTCCGGGCAGGTTGTCTCGCGCAACTGCGGCCGCCGCGCCGCGGCCAGCAAATTGCCTGCTTCCGGGCCTCATTACATCACTCTGTTACTCTGTTAACGCTCGCCGGAAACCCCTCTGCCTACCTCGTCTCTAAACTCTCTCGTATGTACCTACACACACTATTTAAATGCGATGTCGCGAGCGGACGACACAACCGACCGGTGCCCGTGCGAAAGAGGGAGAAAACTTTATCGTACCTTGCTGATTTTCGTCTCTACTTTGGATCCTTTCCGAATTTATTACCTTTTATAGTACTTTGTATATGGAGACATGTGTGGATTTTATGACGTTCTTCTTCATTGGATATTTTTTTTCTTGTAATATTCATTTGTGAGTTTTATGGTTAATTGCTTGGTCATATATGGAGGGGTTTTTTGGAAATTGGTTTTATTGGGGGAATTTGGAATTTGGGAAATTTGGAATTGGGGGAAATTGGAATTGGGGGAATTTGGAATCGGGGAAATGTGGAATTGGGGAATGTGGAATTGGGGGAATTTGGAATCGGGGGAATGTGGAATTGGGGGAATGTGGAATTGGGGGAATGTGGAATCGGGGGAATTTGGAATCGGGGGAATATGGAATCGGGGAAATGTGGAATCGGGGGAATGTGGAATTGGGGGAATGTGGAATTGGGGGAATGTGGAATTGGGGGAATGTGGAATTGGGGGAATGTGGAATTGGGGGAATGTGGAATTGGGGGAATGTGGAATTGGGGGAATGTGGAATTGGGGGAATGTGGAATTGGGGGAATGTGGAATTGGGGGAATGTGGAATTGGGGGAATGTGGAATTGGGGGAATGTGGAATTGGGGGAATGTGGAATTGGGGGAATGTGGAATTGGGGGAATGTGGAATTGGGGGAATGTGGAATTGGGGGAATGTGGAATTGGGGGAATGTGGAATTGGGGGAATGTGGAATTGGGGGAATGTGGAATTGGGGGAATGTGGAATTGGGGGAATGTGGAATTGGGGGAATGTGGAATTGGGGGAATGTGGAATTGGGGGAATGTGGAATTGGGGGAATGTGGAATTGGGGGAATGTGGAATTGGGGGAATGTGGAATTGGGGGAATGTGGAATTGGGGGAATGTGGAATTGGGGGAATGTGGAATTGGGGGAATGTGGAATTGGGGGAATGTGGAATTGGGGGAATGTGGAATTGGGGGAATGTGGAATTGGGGGAATGTGGAATTGGGGGAATGTGGAATTGGGGGAATGTGGAATCGGGGAAATGTGGAATTGGGGGAATTTGGAATCGGGGGAATATGGAATCGGGGAAATGTGGAATTGGGGGAATGTGGAATCGGGGAAATGTGGAATATGGGGAATGTGGAATTGGGGGAATGTGGAATTGGGGGAATGTGGAATCGGGGTATGTGGAATCGGGGGAATGTGGGGGAGTTTTATAGCATTTTTATGGATTAGATATTTTTTGATTGTGATATTTGGGTACACAAGGATGTTAATTCACTTGGTGCATATGAAGAGACTGATGGTCATATATGGAGACACTTGTATAACCTGATTTTATCTAAATCTCGTTCATTAGATATGTTCCTCGATCATAATTTTTATGTATAACAAGTTAAACTGATTTTATTCCATATTCAGTATGTATCTCGTCTGTTCATAATATTCACATATGAAGGTTCGATAATTGAACACCTTATACATAGCAGCCATCTATTCAACCACAATATTCATAACATTCACATATGAAGGTGTTCGATAATTAAACACCTTATACGTAGCAGCCACGTATTGGAACATTTAGGTAAATTCTCCTTCTTCAATCATCATTAACTAAACATACACTTTCTTCATGATATAAATGTATAAGTAGACGTTCGATAAATAACCATTCTTCATAGTCACCATATATGATAATGTATATGCAAATTGATTTTGTTCAATCGTTATTAAATAAACATGTATATCATTCATGATGCCAACATGTAAATACACATTCAATAACTAAACCTTCTTCACATGAAGGCCATATACTGAGACATTGATATAAATTGATTGTTCTAAATCATCATTAAATAAACATGTATGTCATTCATGTTGTCAACATGTAAATAAATATTTAGTGACTAAACCTTCTTTTCATGATGGCCATATATGAAGACGTTTATATAAATTCATCTTCTTAATCATCATTAAATAAACATGTATGTCATTCATATTGTCAACATGTAAATAAATATTCAGTGACTAAACCTTCTTTTCATGATGGCCATATACTAAGACATTGATATAAATTGATCTTCTTAATCATCATTAAATAAACATGTATGTCATTCATATTGTCAACATGTAAATAAATATTCAATAACTAAACCTTCTTCACATGATGGCCATATATTGAGACAATGATATAAATTCATCTTCTTAATCATCATTATATAAACATGTATGTCATTCATGTTGTCAACATGTAAATAAATATTCAATAACAACCTTCTTTTCATGATGGCCATATATTGAGACATTGATATAAATTGATCTTCTTAATCATCATTATATAAACATGTATGTCATTCATGATATCATCAGATAAATGCACATTCACTAACTGAACCTTCTTTACATGACGGTCATATATTGAGACATTGATATAAATTGATTGTTCTAAATTATTATTGACTGATCATATATATTTTGTGCATGACATAAACATGCTAGTATATATTCAATAACAGCTATTGTATACTGATGACCATACATTAAGATGTTAATATAAATTTTCTTAATCCTTGAGGACCAAACATATATTCCGTTGATGATATACATAAATCGATTTTTCTTAGCCACAGTGTGTATTCTTTATATTATCTGTACATAAAGCGTCCATTGATTGAACAGTATACGATAGCCATATAAGGAGACATTTATGTAAATTAATTGTTCCGATCATAATTGGCGAAACGTGTATTTTACTGGCAACGTCCCCGCGTAAGTGGGTGTTCGGTGGTTAAACCCGTTGCACAGGATAGCCATATACGGTGACATTTATGTAAATGAATTTCTTTCAATCATTATTTATCGAGCGTTTCTTTTGTCGACGATATACATTTACCGGCACGATCATTTTAATATTACAGGTTGATCTTCGAGCACAGGAGCGATCGTCTAACGAAGAAAATGAGTCGAAAGCAAAAGGAGCATCGACTATTATTAGTCGAGGTGCCCTTCCTTCGAAAACAGGAATACCTTAATGACAGAAATAAAGGTACAAGTTAACGAGTAGTTTCCACGAAGAAGACGCGTGTAATTTATAATAATCTCCGTCTCCTACGAAGCGGAAAAGAGAGAAGACGAGTGCAAGAAACGCGGATGATTGCGGTGCATGCGACGCGTCGCGCGACCGGCCTCCGGGGAGAATACGAAATTTATGGGGCGTTAAAAAAATCTACAACAACGGCGTAGAATAGGGCAATAAAAGGTAGGGAAGAAAAATTCTGAACCGGTAATTTACCGTTCAAGATACGCGTCGGCGTGGTTAAATCGTGGAACAAGCGCGTGGACAGGTGAGACAATTGCGAAAGAGGGTGCCACCTACAACTCTATATTACATATATTATCTGATATGTAACTGCGATATGCGACGAAAGAAATGTTGTTGCGATGGAGATGTTAATTATGGAACTGTAAACGCTTTAGCGATGGTCAGGTTAGGATAAGTTGGCGATTATAGTTGCATAGATCATTTGGTCGTTGATAAAGTTATCGACGTGATTCTAGTGTGTTTTTAATGTTACTTGTGTGTTGTAAGCGAAGTTGTATGTGTTGTATGTGTTGTATGTGTTGTATGTGTTGTATGTGTATTGTAATATGTGTTGATACGTGTGCACTCAGTTGTTGTCGAAGATAATGTAACTGCGAGTACAAGAGTTTTGTGATGTAGAGATTGTCGAGTACAAAGATTTGGTCGTTGATAAAGTTATTGACGTGATTCTAGTGTGTTTTTAATCTTACTTGTGTGTTGTAAGTGAAGTTGTATGTGTTGTATGTGTTGTATGTGTATTGTAATATGTGTTGATACGTGTGCACTCAGTTGTTGTCGAAGATAATGTAACTGCGAGTGCAGGAGTTTTGTGATGTAGAGATTGTCGAGTACAAAGATTGTGGTACATGTGTGGTAATGTGAGAATACATCACTGTATGTAAAGATATAGGTTATAGATAAATACAGGTTTGATCCAAACTTGGATTTGAAGATGTAGAGACATACATATCTAGAGATTTAGAGACTTAAGAATTTGCAATAGGGATCTGGTCATGTAGAGATTAAATGATGCGGAAAGATAGAAAGATGGTAATATTGAAATGTAGGAACT